TTTTAGTCGAATGGGGCAGGCAGAGCATGAAAATAGCCATGATTACCATGGAGTTGATGTTGGACTGAGATACTAACCCGATGCTGGGGACCCGGGTCATCGCCAGCATCTGGTGATGGACACTAGCCATCACCACCTAACACCAGTACAATTCTAAAGATGGGCTGTCCTGGACCTCTCTTTGTAGCCTAGCTATCCTATAACTCACTCTGTAGATCAGGCTGTCCTCAGAGTCACAGAGATCCACTGCCTCTGCCTCATCCTCCAAGGGCTGGGATTAAAAATGTCCAACACTATGCCTGGTTTAAGACTGGCTGTATTTTGTGGTTTTTCCGAGACAGAGTTTCTCAGTGTAACAGCTCTGGCTATCCTGGAACTAGCTCTGTAGATGAGGCTGGCCTGGAACTCACAGAGATCTTCCTGCCTCTGCCTCCTGAGTGCTGGGATTAAATGCATGTGCCACCACTGCCCAGCTAAGACTGGCTGTCTTAATTCCAAAGAGTTCTGGTCTTATTTTCTCATTTTATCAATTGGTCTGTGCCCTTTGCATAATATGAAGCACAACTGAGGCCGTTTTGATTTTGTGGTGGACACTGAACTCAAAGATCTGCTGAGGCAGCAGCTTGCTTCATCACCAGCCTCCACCAGGTCACGTGCTTCCTTTAAAAGACCCCTCCCTTGTCTGTCCCCTCGTGTGTGTAATGTGTGTGTGCATGTGTGGTCTCCCCCTGCGCCCCCCTCATCTCTGACTCTCATTCCCTCTGTCTTCTGGTCTGTCTGTCTCTATTTCTCTCTCATGTCCCCACTCTGAGATGGTCTTTCACTCTCTTCCCTCGCCCAGTCAACCTCTTGCCTTAGACCCATTGTGTGGAGTGATCTCTTAGCAGGCTGGCTGAAGGAACCTTCCCGCTGCTGCTTTATCCTTACAAGGGCTCTGCCGCTCAGCTGGGTCTGGATTCCTGATTTTGCTTCAGCCTTTCACTTCTACTGGTCTAGAGCATTAGGTACACTTTTTATTTTTAATAATTAATTTGAAGTTCTTTGAGTCAGGAATGAATATAGAAAGCATGCCATTCTCAATGACTTAGCTGGTTAAAAGAAAGGGAAGGGGCCTGTCTAAACCACACCTACACTCCCAATACCTTAGTGCTCAAGGCGGGGCAGAGGGTGGGGGTGGGGCTGAGTTTGAGGCCAGCCTGGGCTAAACATGGAGGCCTTATCCAAAAATGAAGAAACAGAACCTGTGATAAGCACCTGTACTTCCAGCATGCTGGAGGTGGAGGCAGAAGGATCAAGGGCTCAAAGATAACCTGGGCTACATGGAAAGTTGGAAGCTAGCCTGGGCTACCTGAGACCCTATCTCAAAATGAGAGGGGGGGTGGTGTTTTCCCTGGGGGAGAAGGTGAAGAAAGACATTTCAAGCAGAGCACTGTGGGTCCTGGGGAGCAGAGTGTCAGGCACTTGAGAGAAACCTGGAGATTAGAGGTGCTGGGGGTTAAGCATGGTCCCCACCATGGTGGGGTGCTGCTCGATAGACCTTAAGCTGGAAAGTGACAAGGTGGGGCACCCTAGAGAATAGGATCGGAAAACTGACTGTGGGTGGTGCTCCCCCAAACTTCTCTAATACTCCAGTGTTCCTGTCTTCATCTAGGCTGGTCTTTAGCTACTGGCAATCCTCCTGCCTCATCCTCCCAAGTGTTGGGATGTGGGAGTGAACCACTAAGTCCAGTGAGGGGGAAAATTGTATTAGAGCAGCAGTAAATGTTTTTCTTTCTTTCTTTCTTTCTTTTTTTTCTTTTTCTTTCTTTCTTTTTTTTTTTTTTTTTTTTTTCTTTTAGTCAGGGTTTCTCTGTGTAACATCTCTGGCTGTCCTGAAACTGGCTCTGTAGACCAGTCTGGCCTCCACCTCACAGAGATCTACTTGTCTCTGCCTTCCTGAGTGCTGGGATTAAAAGCGTGCACCACCAACACCACCACAACTACCACTACCACCACCACCCGCTCTCTCTCTCTCTCTCTCTCTCTCTCTCTCTCTCTCTCTCTTTCTCGTTTAAGTTACATTTATTCATTGGCAGTTTCAGTTTCATGCATGTATGCTATGCATCCTGGTTACTCTCACTCCCATCCTTTTATCTGCCTCCCGCTCCTGCCACCCTACCACCAAAACCAGCCTTTTTTCTCAATTCTGGCGATTGCACCAAACACACACCTTGTCAAGTCCTCTATGACTGAGCTACATCCGCAGATGGATTCTTTCCCCCCTTTAATGTGGGGTCACCTTCGCAGGTCCCAACATCTGCGGAAAACATCTTCAGCATCTGGAAACATCTGGAAAGAATTTGGCCAAACTGGTAGCCTGGACTTTCCCACCAGGGCTGCATCCTTCTCTCTCTGTTTTAGCACGCACGTGCCAAGGGGATTGGCGCGACGCTCCGCGGCAGATGCGGCAGTTGCGGCAGTTGCCCTCTAGATGGCACCCTTTCCCTTTCGCCCTGGCAAGAGAAAACAAAGACTTAAAATCACGCAGAGGTGGGCACAGGGCCAGCCTTTTATGTGCGTCACCGACCTCATCTACAATCCAATCCCAGAGACTGACCTATCCCCAGCAAGCGCTAGGCTGATTTCTGCCCCTACAGACTTGCCCATTCCTGGACTTCCTGGGTATTTCACATAAACTGGATCTTATAATATGTGGCCTTTAGTGTCCAGTTTCTTTCACTTGGCGAAATGTTTTCAAGGCTTATCCATGTGGGGGTATTCTTGGTTCTTATTTTCTTTTAGTGGGAGAAAAAATATAGGCTGGACATGGGGACCCATGCCTATATAATCCCAGCTAGCAGAGGCAGGGGCAGGAGAATCTCTGTGAGTTCAAGACCAGCCTGGACTGCAGAGTGAGTTCCAGGACAGCCAGGGAGGAATAGAGAGAGCTCATCTTCCCAACACACACACACACACACACACACACACACACACACACCAATCATATGGCTATAGTTTATTTATCCATTTATCAGTTGACACTTGGGTTATTTTTACTCTGGAGTCACCAAAAATATCATGGCTATGAACACTTATGTACACACATATGTTTGTTT